AATGGACAATTCTCCTGAGATTGTTATTAAAATGTAGTGATTGATTTCTGCGTAAAATCTCATATCTTGATATTGTAGTTTTATTGCACCTAAAAATTAAAAGAGAACGGCCACAACAAATCCTAAAGCATTTCAGAACTAAAGATTTTCTGAAATTAATGATTACACTCTAAGATATTTCATGGAGAATCAGCTTCCGCAAAGATCCAGAACATCAGAGACCCGACTTTGTTACTGATAAGAGTATTAAGAACATATCATTTTTATTACAAACAGTTCACACAATATTTGAAATCTTGGTAATTATTTCCACGACACGAGCTCATTATCTTGCAATACCGTCAGCCGGCGAACGATTCCAAACAAAAAGCAACTGTATGGCTGTTTCGTTCTAACTATATTATTTAAATATGTTACATCCAAATAAACCCCACTGTTATAACTTGAAAATTGGGTCCATCGAGACTGTTGTAACTGGGTAGCAGTTATATCTGGGCAGTTGTCGTTTTTATATATGTATCGACTTTATTGAGTCTGCAGTCTTACTGATATTACTTGACAATCGGGAACCACTGAAGTTCCTCGACCCTACTACTCATACTACGAAACGGAAACACTACAATTCCCACGACGCAAAATGGCAACAAGAAAGACCGGTGCGCCGAAGATTTACATTTGCAAAGACACGTCTCCGAACAATTCTCAAAAATCACATCAACCTTACAACACAATCATTTCTATACCAATCTTTACACAATATTATCATATGGGGGGAACTGAGATCAAACTGGATTGAGGTGATGGACATTTGAATATGCTGATACTGATAGGTTGTGTAACTATTTGCATCATTAACAACCTTGGTAATTCATGAGTCCATTGAACAGACCATGTAAATTCATCAGCAGTGTGAAATTCTCAACCCTTCCTTATGATCTTTTGTGTACAAGAGTATAATACTCGAGTTTAAATGATTATAAGACTGGGAGCCAGTAAACATTTTGAAATACCTAATTCAGTCAGTAACAACGTAGAACTTCGTACGTACGTACATCAGTTCGAGTTGCCACACCACATTAGCACAGAGATGCACTTGTCGATTCAAATCCCGTAGTGGTAGAGGTAATAAGAGTATAAGCAGTATTCGGGAAGATTAGGGTTTGGAGATGTTATTTAAGGAGTATAATCCAGTGAAATAAATTTGGAAAGAGGTGAAAAAGGACATGAAGAATTCAGAAGATTAGAATTTGGGAGAACACAAAGAGTGGATGCACCTTCGTCATTGCAAACGATTTGGAGCCATGTCATTCAAGGTCTCTAACCATCGGTTGCTATCATCTCACGGTCCCCAACCAGGTAGTCTACACCTACCAACATGACTCAGTTCACTTGTTAGTGACTTCATGGACTTGTGCCATGTTTTGGTCTGGCCACCCCTAGCTTTCTTACAACCTACTCCTATACCACTGAACATCGCACGTCGGGGCAGTCGATGGTTGGGCATACGCAACACGTGTCCCAGCCATCTCAACTGATGAAGTTTCACTACGTCATCAATTGATTTGCCATCCTCACCTAGTACCCGTTTCTTAACAACTGCATTACTTACTCGATGGTCCCAGGATATACAAGCAATGTTTAGGAAACACCTATGATCAAATACTAGTAACCTACGAATATCCTCTACTCTTACCGGCCATATTTCATTGCCATAAAGTAGGACGGAACGAACTGCTGCGCAGTAAACACGTCCTTTGGTTGATAGACGGATATCTCGCCTACGCCATAAATGACGCAAGTTGGCAAAAGCTAGTCGAGCCTTCTGTATCCGTGCTGAGATTTCGTCACACACCAGACCACAAGGGCTGATGAGACTTCCAAGATAAGTGAAGCGATCGACACGCTCAATTACCTCACTCCCTATCATTAGGTCGGGTGTCAATGCAACCCCATCCTGAAGCAACATTTTACATTTCGAGGGGGGAGAATCACATACGAACATGCTTGCATTGTTGCTTAGAGTGGTCAGAAGACTCTGGATTTTGTCAGCGTCGTCACCAAATAGAACTATGTCATCGGCATATTCTAAGTCAAAAAGTGAATCTCCTGGTAGAAGTTCAACCCCTGGAAATTTAGATGAAGAAAGTGTCATCTCTAAAAGCATGTCAACGACAAAGTTAAACAAGAATGGAGAGAGTGGACAGCCCTGACGAACACCACTTGAGGTAATCAATTCTGATGACAGTTCGCCATAAGCTCTCACTCTACCAGTTGTGTTCGAGTAGAGAGCCTTTATAAGGTTAATGTACTTCTTTGGTACTCCTTTCAGTGACAAACACTGCCATAGAACCTCACGATCAACAGAGTCGAATGCCGCCTTAAGGTCGAGAAATACTACCATTGTGGGGCGTCTGAATGTGTGTCTATGTTCTAGGACCTGACGTAGTGTGAATATCTGATCTATAAAACCACTTCCAGGTCGAATACCAGCCTGTTTTTCTCTAGTCTGCTCTTCACGAGCTTTGATTAGGCGTCGAAGTATTATGGAGGCTAATATTTTAGACACTATATTAGTCAAACTGATTCCTCTGTGATTGTCACAAGAGGACTTTTGTCCTTTCTTATAGACTGGCACAATCAGTGATTGAGACCAGTCAGATGGGATTACGTCCAGTTCCCAAATTCTACCTCGGTTAATCTCATTGCTAATACTGGACCATCATCCTTAAAAATCTGAGGAGTAAACCTGTCAGGGCCTGCTGCTCTCTCTCGTTTTAGATTTCCTATGGCTTTTTCAACTTCGTAAAGGGACGGAGGACCTACATTAACTTGTCATTCAGGTTGACTAGGGATCGTGGGAAACCGAAGTGTGGCTGAAGGCCAGTTGAACTGATCCCTAAAGTGTTCTGCCCATCGATTTAACCTCCTGGATTGAGAATGAATAATATGTCCATCTTTCTCTGAGATTGTTTCGCTAACGGTCGGGTTCCTAATTCCGGTTTCCTTAACGAGTCTGAACAATTGTCTGCTATTACCTATTGCCGCTGCCTTTTCCATCTCTCTTGTTTCGCTACGCACCACTGTTCGCGATCATTGCGTAGACTTCTTGTCAGCTTGCGCTTAAGTTGGCTCTGCCCTTCATTATGTTCAGAGCCAGGTGGAATGAGTTTCCGAGCATTTATCAGTGAGATAGATGCTGCTGAGATCCAGTGTTGCTCCCTAACCTTCTGGTTTACCTTACTAGCAGATATCACTGCTGTTTCCACAGCTTTTCGGATATCATTCCATGCTGCATCGGGGTGGGCATCACATACAACGTAGAACTTCGTACGTACGTACATCAGTTCGAGTTGCCACACCACATAAGCACAGAGATGCAGTGGTTGATTCAAATCCTGTAGTGGTAGAGATAGTAAGAGTATAAGCAACAATAATCGGGAAAATTAGTGTTTGGAGATGTTATTTAAAGAGTATAATCCAGTGAAATAAATTTGGAAAGAGAAAAAAAAGGAGACAAGGAGGAATAAGGAGATCAAAATTTGGGAGAACACAAAGAGTGTATGCACCTGCAAACGATTTTGAGCCATGTCATTCAGAGTCTCTCGTCCATTGTCTGAGATAGATACTTGTCTCTATCCGACACGTATTGGAATCCACTGGTTACGCACAGTGGTTTAGAATTTAAGCGTTTGCACGTGAGATTGAAGGTTCTGGGTTCGAGTCCCGCATATGGGATCGTGGACGCGCACTGCTGAGAAGTTCCATACTAGGACGAAACGACCATCCAGGTTTTCAGTGGCGGTATAACTTGGATCGATTAATGAATTCAACTATTAAAATTACCACGATCTCCACAAGCCCTCACTCTGATAACCAAAAAGACATATAACTCTCTTTTCATACCCGCCCAATCACATCGTGTAGTGATTTGATGGTCACAAGTTAAGCCTGACAATTAAGTCTGAATTTTGCTGGAAGATGAGATACTAGCGAAATTTATATTCTTTAACTGCCCAAATGAGATTCTACTTTAGCCCCATCAAGAGGAGTGAGCCTATGGAGCAGTACAACTATTCTTAATTACAGAACCGATAATTATAGAAAAAGATATACTTATTCGCAACAACCTAACATTAAAAATGGTTAGTCACTAGTTTATTTTGCGATCATTAGTTAAAAAAGTGCCAGTGAAGAACTTTGTGACTATCCATAAAATGTATAGAACTCCCACCATCCACAAAAATGCATACTAGTAGTTAGAGAGATCAATAATTTATGTATACCTCTTCTACTCAAAATATCTTCTAATTGGACTATCAGATTCATAATTTTTCATCTTAAAGTGTATAGTATTTGGGCTGGGTACGCTTTAGAAACTAAAAGCCATACATAATGTGCGGTAGCGTAAAATCTTTGAGTGAAAACCCGAGAACACTTAGGATACACTATTCGACGATTATTTGCTAAAGATATGGAATGTTTCATGGGCTTTTGTAGAGCTGTTCCATAGTGTAACCGATAAGAATTGGAATTATTTCTTTCAGTCTGTTTTATACTATTTCACAGCTTAAAAGCTATTTTTACGAACGAACATAAAGTTACAGATATTCGATAATATATTTTGATTTTGATAACTGTTAAAATGCACTGACTAACATGAATTGAAACAAAATGATTACATTTATTTTTGAACTACATAAAGAACAAAAACATTATGCAAAGCAATACATTGATTTGAACGGCGGCTTAGAAGCTAAGGAATTCAACTTTTAAATAATAGGTCGAGATTGATTGATTCTTACTTCACATACTTCTGTTCGAACAACCGGAAATAATCACTAAAGCTCACACAAAAAGCGTAACACAAGCTGAGTACACGGATATGTACTTAGTGAATTGCACAAATAAATAAGAATGACGCAATCAATCATTATCAAATTATTTTATAGAATAAACAAATTAATCTGAATAGGCACATTTCTGTACAATTACAATGCTTTTTATTGTTCAGTCCAGATATGGTGACATTTCATACAAGAATACTTGGTTGTGCTGGGTTCGTCAGCTGAACGTGTCTGCATTTGGACAAAATACGCTCGCGTATGACCGCACTTAGGACACTTTTCATCTGTCTGAGCAGAAGAACTATATTCATCTTCAACCGAGAAAACGGCGTCTTCCTCTAAACGTAAACGAACATCCTGTCTTGGCTTATGTTCTAAAACTAGTGGCTGAGTGACAAACCATCTGTAAGAACATAAGGGAGCAGAACAGTTCAGCGAATAGCAATGAGCCGACTCTTCGATCATCAATAAAGAGTGACAGAGGGGACAAAATAAAACAGGCATTACGCTGGATACTAAAGCGTAAACAATATCTAATTAGCAGGTAACCACATACTGTTACATGGAGAGGTTAGAAAATGCCTGAAAAGAAAAATATATGGTAAAAATGAAGCTATTATTTCACAGAACTGAGTAGATCTTGGATAATGAGTCTTTCTTGGAGGTTAGTGGTCGAAGCATTTGGGTTGTAACCACTAGATTGGGGATTTCAATTCTCATCTATTTCAAATTGGGAAGGCAGATAGCTACTGATCCTAATGTAGGAAGTGCAGTTCAAAGCGAAATGTACTAACGAGAACTTAGAATGGTCTACATGATTATTTGCTCGTAGTTTACGGTTTTTACGAGAATAATAAATCAAAAGGAACGTCTGCACAACTATCTACGCCTGATTTTGGGAACAGCTAATACTGTATGAACTTTGCAACGTAGCAAAGAGTGGATAGGCCTATTCATATTACTAGTAAACAGAAACGTTAACAATAATTTTCAAGCAGACTTCAAACGCTGTAATCAGGACCAGAGGACGTTGGCTTTCTTTAAATGCATCTAAAATATAACATTGTTTTGTAGTAGGTCCAAACCTAAACAACAGTTTACGGAAAGTGCATATTGACGAATCATTACTTCAGATCGATACATAACACGTATCAGTTGCTACATCTAAGTGACAAGATGTCAAAAAGCTGCCTTATACTGGGCTTTCCAAAAAACAGAGAATTCCCCAATAAGTTTTTTCTATTACGTTTGTTGGTGACCACTGATGATCAATAAGAATTTTGTGTTAATTTGACACCCTGTGTGTAGATACGAACGCTGATCACCATACTTAAATTCTAATAACCAAATAGTATTAGCCTTTTGGTAAGACAAACCTATATTTATTTACTGAGCTTTTTTATCTTTGCATGTGTACCTAATCTAAAACATTCATACAATAACTTGTCCAGAGACAATTACATAAAAGGGTGTAAGAACTTGGGGAACTGTGTTACGAGGCATAAAATTAGTATAAGTCGCAACGATTATCTTAATGGATGGAGACAATTTTACTTTTGAATAGACCTAAGATTGCTCGCCTGTTACACCTAAACGGAGTCAGATACCGCTTTCAGATAAAAAGAATACTTGATGTGATGATTGTAACATACAGTAAAAACAGGACGAACTGATTTGATTTACCTAAGAGTCAGTACGATGAATTGAAATTTAAGCACTTATACATCTTAGGATTAGCCACCTATATAGAATAAAACTGGTTTAGAAATACCGTTGAATTTATTGTAGAAAAAAAAAGTTTTTTAGATAATGTGAAGCAAACGTCTGCCTTCCACAAAATAGTCTAGTGAGTAACTAAAGAACTCTATAAGGCCAACCTAGAATGGATGTCTTTTGTTATTTTACTATTAGTGCACTATGAAAATAATATCGAAGCAACAAAAAAGGTTTTGGAAAAGTTAATTAAATGTTGAAATGCATGCATACAGGTGACAATGCACCGAATTGTTGCCTTTTCCTCCAACTTGCACGGTGATAGTGGAGGCTTTCTCTTAAATTCCCCCATTGAGGCGAAATGCCTCGAAACTAACACCTTAACTTTTCTCCAAAATTAAAACTAAACTACTTCCTCCAAGTAGTAATACTGGAGTCAACAATTCGGTATTATTTAACACTAAATTGTCTACGCTACAGAATTAACGACGAGCTATCCATTGTTCCGCAATAATAAGTCAAGCAATCGTCATTTTGTACGATTTCTACATGTTCGGTTAGAATGAACAGACTAATCTACTACATTGTAAACTAGTACAAGCGATATCAGTCTCTCAATTTTGGGAAGGCTGGAATAGAAGACTTTGGGTAAATAAGACAAAAATCACGAAATTTCGGCTCATCCGGGATTTTGAGGGAATCCCTAAAACCTATGGGAATCTCGAGTTCTCCCCAATATTTCCTCACACTTTAGGGAAAGCTGCGAACTTCCATAACTTTGGGAATACCCTCTCAAATTCCCCGAGATTCGGAGACTGGGATCTCCTGTGTTTCGAGTGAAACACGAAAAACCATAATGGCCGATTAAAGATCAGTACCGCAGAAGGGCTGGTTAGTGCTACACGAGATAGTTTTAGTTCTCAATATTATCATAGGTCATGGGGATATGACCACGGATATCCTCGTTTAAAATATTTCAAACGAGGATATCGTTTGATACGATGAGGAGTAAGGACATTGTTACACAAGCCCGATTTACTCTAAAAACCAAGCCTTTTCTAGACTTCAATAGGAAATTTAATAACTAGCTTACTGGGAGTTACCGAATGAAGTGAAGTCAACTACATTACATAAACCACACAATCAAACGAGAAATGCAAGGCAAAACAAGGTAACGCTTCAGGGATATCGTCTGCTGACTCAGGTTGCGAGCAATTGAAGGTCAAACTGTCGTAAGATGACCGGGGCGTCACATCGACAATTCGTGAAGTTTTGCAGAAGCGATCAAATCGAGAAGCTTTCATTTGAACTCAGTTTAGCCACACTATTTCTGATAACGTCCATCCTTCAAGTAACGAAGACGATGCCATCGTGATGATGCATGATATAGGACGAATTTTCAATGATATAATGTTATTGCAACGATTTACAAGTTGGGACAATTTTGAGACCTATTTGAAAGAAGTTCATAAGGTGATATGACTCCTGCGGTTAATAATCACTTTCGTAGTACACGCATAGTAAGTACGTTATTTCAGTATGTAAAAAGAACGATGATGACCCAACTCTAAAGTATTTTTTTCGTCCGAAATGTTTGTACATATGAACGTAAACGCAGTTCGTCAGAACCAGATGCTTGTGTTCATGATGTAGATTATGATAGTGATCATCATTCTCCCTAAGAGCATACAACTTCTAAATCACCACAACAATCTAGACAAAGAAGACGACGTCAGTCATTTACGTATGCCCCATTTCTAAAGAATTTATCCTTTAGATCGAGATATTGCTATTGTCAATCCGGATTTTGGGTCCACGCGCAGTAAACGGTGAGCTGAAAGTCACCTGTATTACGACTGCGCACAACCCGAGCTCCCAAGTTTGGGGAAATTTCGGGGAATTTTAGTTAACCATCCTTGCACAGAAGGATATATTTTTGTAGATCCTTCAAGACGACAAATGACGTCAATTGAACGCTTATATTGAAAAAAAAAGTTTCTATTGAGTAATACGCCAACTCGTAGCTTACGTCAACTGGTTTCTTGCAAGTCGCCCAAAAAGCCTACCATTTCAAAGGCACACGCCGTTTCGTCTCAACGACCTTGAACGGCCTGACAATTGAGTTTGTTGGGTGTCTGTTTGATGAGTGGTTTTATCCGCAACGCAACCATGTAAGCTTGATGTATGTATGTATGCATGTATTTTAAGTTTTCACACGTTTAAATCGTCTTGTGCTGCAGTGGAATCACGAAATCACTGCGAAAAGCATTAATTTAGCTTCCTCTGTTTCGTAGAGTACACGTAGGCTCTATTGTTGGTTCGTGACTTGACCTGCGATACCAACCACTCTACTGAACCTCACTGTCCTTGATTAAAATTTTTTGAGGTCCATGAAGCAGAATTAAAGATACTCGAAGTTTGTGTGAATCGCTATTTTACTCAGGGATTAAGATGAAATGTCAAGTAACCGGTGTAGCGGTAAATAAATCCCCAAAATAAATAGCTCTAAGTTTTCGACATTGGATGCTGACCAAATGTTTTAGTGGACTCATCTAGCTGAAGGCGCTCGGTCATGCATCCGCACCAGATCACGTGTGGTAACGCCGTGCTCAACATCAACCGCAATCGCTAGCCAGATTAGATCAGAGAATTCCGATATATTGGTCATCGCCAAATATACTCTTCCGATCTCCTCGACTCTGTCTTTTGATTTCTCTGGGCGGGAACGAAACATATTAGAATGTTTTCACAGATTGAAATCATGAGTCAGTTGAAGCTAGACCACCATTGAAAACCTGACTTCAGGAGACACTTCTGGAGTTCTAGTGAGAAGTCGTTACCAGTGGAGTTCAACCAGGTCTGTTGTGAGATAGGAACTCACTGAAGACAATGGTGGATTGGTTGAAGTTAGACATTAACACCGTTGGATGCCGGCTCAGTGGTCTAATGGTTAAGTGCTCGCGCGCGAAGCCAGTAGGTCCTGGGTTCGAGCCCCGGGTGGTGCGGGTTCGTGGATGCGCACTGCTGAGGAGTCCCATACCAGGACGAAACGGCCGTCCAGTGCTTCCAGGTTTTTAATGGTGGTCTAGCTTCAACTGACTCATGATTTCAATCTGTGAAAATTTCTAAAAATCTCCACAAAACACATTCTGATAATATTAGAATGTGTTACTGGTAGAAGCGTTGTCAAACACTGAATACCTGTGACATCATCATTGGTAAGGAAACCTTACTGTGTGACACATCTACAGATAGGGATCGCCCAGCAGTGCCGAAACATTATCGACGCAATGTCTTCAATACATTGCACAAACTTTCTCACCCAGGCGTTCGCGCAACCATCAAGCTTATAGCAGAACGGTTTTGCTGGCCTGGCATGAATAAAGACGTGAGGGAGTGGACACGCTCCAGTGTAAGCTGCCAAAAATCTAAGGTTATCAGACACAATAAATGTCCCTTAAGCTCATTTAAAACTCCCGATGCTCGTTTTGACCATGTTCATCTGGATTTTGTAGGACCTTTGCCAGATTTAAATGGATACTCTTACCTCTTAACCTGCGTAGACCGTTTCACGCGATGGCTAGAAGCAGTACCTATCAAGGACATCACTGCTGAAACAGTGGCTCGCGCCTTCGTCGAACGATGGGTAGCAAACTTCGGTTGCCCTTCAACCATCACTACAGATCGCGGACGCCAGTTTGAATCCGATCTTTTTTGTCATCTGATCACACTTTTAGGAATCACTCGATTCCGAACGACTGCCTACCAAAAACAAGAAAACGGGTTGGTAGAACGTTTTCACCGACAACTAAAAGCTTCACTATCAGCTGCAAACGTTTCACAGTGGACCGACGCTCTTCCACTCGTCTTACTAGGTATCCGCAATGCAGTGAAAGCTGACATTGGATACACTGCGGCTCAACTCGTTTATGGAACGACACTTCGACTTCCAGGAGAATTCGTGGATCCTTCGTCCTCTTCAATGAACATGGATCTAACCTCCTACACGAACAGGTTTACAAACGCAATGCGTTCAGTTAAATCTGCTTCCATTCGACCTCAATCAACAGATGTTTTTGTTCAACCTGACTTACGATATAGTACACACGTTTTCGTTCGTCGAGAATCACATCGACGACCATTCGAATCAGCATACGAAGGACCTTTCAAAGTTCTTCAACGCGAACCGAAGTACTATATAGTCGATAAGAGTGGAACAAATGATAGCATCAGCATCGATCGCTTAAAAGCAGCGTATTTAGAAGGAAATCCTATCTACGTCGATTTTCCTTCGGTACAATCGAACGATACGACTCCACTCATAATTCCTCAACCGACAACCAACACTAGCGATGATACTTCGAATGTATCTGAAAATATACCGAAAACGACGCGTTCTGGAAGAAGAGTAAGATTTCCAGAACATTTAAACGACTACTGCACGTAAGGCACTATTGTATTATCTCGATTTTTCTTTTTACGATATATAATATTTTTTTAAAACAATTTTAATATGCCTATATATTTATATTTTTATATAAAAAAACATAAAAAACATATTTTTAACGCTATTACTTGTGCTTGAGTATATTTTCGATTTTTTCGCCGACATTGTGTTTTTACGCACATACGATTGTATTTCGACATGCACTTACACTTTCTTTTTTCTTTTCCAGGACGACTGGAAAAGAACGATGCAGTTTATGAAAAGTCAAAATTTTCGATATAACTTTCTTTTTTTACTATGTTGTACCTCGTTCCCATATAGTAAGGAAAGACGACCAGACGCTGCTACACTTAGTAAGCTATCAGAAGAGTGTTTACCGACGACAAACTCGTTGGGTTTAAACTTCTGGCTGGCCACGTCTTAGGGTCGTCACTGCCCCATTAAGGGGAAGAGTGATCTGTAGCGGTAAATAAATCCCCAAAATAAATAACTCTAAGTTTTTGTTGTATGTTGAAATAAATTTAATGAAAAGAAAGAGCGTTTTATTAGACAACATTATGGCAGAAGCTTGAGCATTAATTGTTAAGCATTTTCATTGTAATTGCAAATTCATTGTTATTTGAAAAGATCTGGAAAAGAAAAAACAGGTGGTGTATTATTAATAAAGCAAGTGTATTTAACTACAAGTTCACTGAAAATCAAACCTACTTTCTCAACACTTAAATAAAGTTTCCCATGTAAGTAAGAAAGTAAGCTCATGTTGAAAAAATGTTTACTGAAAAATAAGTTGAACATTAAAATTATTCCACGGATTACTTTTTTTAGGCACGACTCTTTGGTTATTGAGAATTGAAATAATCTTCTAGTGAATACTGAAGTGTAAAGAACGAAAAAAGTTTCATTGATATCTGAATGACATGCTTTGGTACAGCCAGGTACTTGAAGCTTCACTTACGGTTATGTTCGTTAACACTGTAGACTGTACCTATATAGCAGTAGGGAAGTTATCACTTTAAATTAGTACATACCTGTCCCTGTTTCCTTCGATTACGCTTCATTAATTTGTCGCGATTGTGTCGCGATATCGTACAGTTTTGCAGTCTTTTGTGTGATAATTCTAACCATAGATTAGCCCGCTTTTTGTGACACCTGGGTACACCATGTGCATGGGATCTAAAGGAAAAGTTAAGATCATATTAATTGAAAATGTTTCCAGAATATAATGGCCTTGATAGTTAATAGATTGAGTCTGACGACGAAAGCTGTCGTTCGTTCCTAATGTATATTCACCATTTGCAAAAGCTATCTTCCCCTCAAGCATACTTCCTTCAGTTATTAAAGTATTATTGTAAGGGATAACTTTTCTAATAATTAATAAGTGCTGTTTGTAGTGCTTGATATTCAAGAGAAATTTCAGTCGACTTGGGTGCGGCGTTTCAACGTATAATACTGAACTGGCGTTTCGGAAGCTTGATTGAATTTGATGGTGTACTAAAGGAATTTCAAAAAGTATCGATGAATAACTTTATCCTATCTCAGACTACCCATACTCATTACAGTCACAGCGAAAGTAAACTGCTGATGGACTCAAGATTTAAACGCATGTGTTGCGATGCTTCATTGCACATTTGGTCATAACTGTAAGCCACAAGGTCTAACAGTGAATTGAAAATCATGACAACTTTACTTAACATTTAATGTTTAAGGTCTAAGTTTCTAAACCGTCAATCAAGATTCCGTGTAAAATTGGAGGGTGAGGAATTTGTCATAAAATCATACAAGATGCTTCACAATCATTCTTCTAGTACCTGATGGATGGTCTGTGGTCCATGGACCGGGTTATCCCCACAAGAAAAAGAAAATTTGAAGCCATTGACACCACAGTCAACGTCAACAAATGAATTATTAAAAAGTATTAAGGATCGAACTGGTAAGCAGGTCACTGCTGCGGATGTGAAGACTAAGAAAGCTCAACTGTCCACAGGTGAGCATATAGAAATATATTTCTGGTCGTTATACGCGACTGCAAGTATTTGATATATTGAGGCAAAGCGGTTAACTGCATTACGTTCTATCGTCCCGCTGATTAGGTTGTACTTTAATTATAAATACAATTAGACAACAACTTTACATTGAAATTACTCATTTGACTACAATTTTAAATCTTTATATGTTATGCAAAACGAACATAGAAGTTGCTGAAGAATTAGATAAAAGTTAATAAAAACAGTAACTAATCCATCATCAGTTCATTTTGAATCAATTATTACCGAATAGCATCGAAACGAATTTTCCCACTTTGATGTACTTGACTCTCCTCACAATGCCTTGGAGTTTATTTTGTGAGAAGAATCGCGGAATCAGTATTGCGAATTCCTACAGTATTCAGTACATATCCAAGATCAAGATAAACATCGCTTAACTTCAAAAAATGTTCAAACTTTCTATTACTAACGACTTTGGTAAGGAAATTCACACTTTAATAACTCTAGCGTTGGAAACGAGTAAATGAACCTTTGTGCGAGCTCGTCCATATTCTTTCCCAGATTGATGTTTTCTGGGGTTTGGAATGACACTAAAACACTTCAGGGATATTATAAGTGTCATTACACAGTACTATCA